CTCTCTCTCTCTCTCTCTCTCTCTCTCTCTCTCTCTCTCTCTCTCCCCCCTTAAAAAAACTGTTCTCTTCTTCCCCGTACCGCGTATAAAGATAGAGACTCTAAAATGAATATCAAGAAACTGTTTCAAGGATTGATTTGGAGATGGGATTGGTAGCAATTTTTTTAGAGGAGATATCAATTAAGTTAACAAGATAATCCTAGAGCATCAATTCAGAAAAAACCAGGCATAGTATTAATTATGTTCACATTTGAGAATATTGTGTATTTGCTTACTAAATGTTATTTCCTACCTTAGTTGGCTTTGCGGTGGGGCTACCGGTCGAGGGCATACGTGGTCCCAAATTGATAATCACAGTTGTGGTCGCTATAAGGAAGACAACGAGAAGAAGGCCGAGCGTGCAAAACGGGATCTTTATCGGTACATGCACTATCACAACCGTTACAAAGCTCATATGGACTCCTCCAAGCAGGAATCCAGGCTAAGGGAGACGATAAAGGAAAAGGTGTCTCATCTGGAGGCTCGGGACTCAAACTTGAGGGATTTCAGCTGGGTCACAAACGGGCTCTACAGGCTCTTCAGATCTAGACGGGCCCTTTCATATTCATACCCTTTCGCGTTCTACATGTTTGGAGGTGACCTGTTTAGAGGCGAGATGACAAAAGAGGAGTGCGAGATAAAGCAGAACTTGTTTGAGGACCAGCAGCAGCAGCTCGAGTCGAACGTCGAGAAGCTGTCCAAATTTTTCGAGGAGCCGTTTGATGAGTATCCCGATGAACAAGTCATGCAAATAAGGATGCAGGTTATTAATCTCTCTGTGATCATTGATGACCTCTGCAAAAAGATGTAAGTTTTTTTTTTTTTTTTTAATCCCCGATTGTTAGAGGTGGCCTATGATTTTTCTCTTGAATAAACTTTATATACTCTTGATCTTCATCCAGGTATGACTGTATCGAGGACGACTTATTGGGATCACTCCAATTTACAATTCACAATATAGCTCCTTACAATTCAAAAGGGATTGAGAAGGCAGAGGAACTGAATGTTGAACTGGGTGGTGAATCGTACGTGAAGAATGAATGTCAAACGGCTGCTGATCAGTCTGCCGGTAAAGTTGTACAAAAAGCTGTAGTTATTTAGATTCTTGGCCATGATATTTTATATCAAATATGAAATAATGATTGGTATTATATAAATAATAGATAAGAGTTTTGCTGAATTAAGTAGAAATAGTGAATGTCGACCTGTTAAAGGGTTGATAAGGTTGGGATTGGCAGAGTTGGATTCAATCATTGTTAAATATTGAGGAACTATGGATGATCCAGTGAACTTTGTCTCAAGGTTATATACATATATATGTTTTTTTTGTTCGGTAGTTGGTGGAATAAAAGAAATATTATCAGTTTTTTTGTTCATTTTTTTTTTCTCCTGCAAAAATATTTCGATACATCACCTTTATCAAATATAGTTTAGTCTTATTTTATTGTCTTGGTGAATGCTAAGAATCCCCACTCGCCATATAATGTTTTTACGAATTTTAGTTATAGGTCCGGCATATTCTAAATATCTTCCTACAATAGACATCTTGCTTCGAACAGCTATGAGTCAGGTTGCAATAAATGAAAAATTATTGCCTATATTTTTTGTACCATATCAGATTTTTCCCGACGTGCAGTTTATGATACTTACATCATTTGTACTGTGAGGTAATTTTTTACATTTGAAAGAGGAAACTTTATCTTTGCCAGGGATTATATAACATGCGCTTTATGAAGCCCATCTAATGCATAGTATATACGTAAGTTATTGACCGAAATCTATATAATGCAATTTATTCAAAAATACCTGTGGCCAGCTAAATGAAATTACATGTTCTTTTTGTAGTTTTTTTTTTCTCAATAAAATAGAAAAAGAAATAGAAAAAACTAACAGGGAAGGGAGAAAAGAAAGAAGGTAGTTAATGAAATTTTTAATGTCTGCTTGCATTTTCCGATGACACGATTATCGTGCATTTTGTTGCAGGCCTGATAGAACTTGGGCAATCATCGGCATCTGTGACTTGGGCTGATAGCCATAAATCTTCTCGCAAGCGTCCTAGAAAAGAAAGCAACACAGATAGTGTGTTTGATCTCAACTTGCCAGCCAAGTAAAGTATAAAAAAAAAAAAANNAAAAAAAAAAAAAAAACCCTCCTAAACATAAAAGATTTGCAGCAAAATAGCAAATGCTTTCGTAAGTTTAGTTTGGTATTCGGTTCTTTGTCTTATTTATTTCACGAACTGTTTTGGGGATATAGCTCGTGGAACAGGAGATGTTTAACTTCGCTAATGTAACTCTTTTGTGAGTCCATATATTGATGATCTATATGATATGTTCATGAGGGTGGGTATATAGTTGGAAGATGGATGTATTTAAAACTATTAGTAGGATAATGTTATTGTAGGTTTCGATTCTCATTTTGCGATGTAGTGACCGTGCAGAAGCTTCGTGGCTCTTTCCTTTTTTTTTTTTTACTTATTTTGTCAGCTGATACTTGCAATATTTTTAGTCATGGACTAAAAATAGGATATATTTGTTCGGTCAGCTGGTATATATGTTAAGAATTGTAGCTATAAGATCTTTTTGTGTTTATGGGAGCCGAAAGTTTTTGTCTGAAAACATCATAAATTCTATGGTGCCCATATGAGTGTCATAATCCATGCCACAATGCGGCATATGGTGTGGTTTTATTAATGATATTTATCAATTCCAAATGGCAATGACATATAAATTTCTCAATTTTATTTATTTATTTTTTGTTAAAAAATTCCCTTCTCAACTATAACACAACTATGACATTTCAATCCCCAAATCCCATTTCTAGGGCTTTGCAGAATTGGAGAATCAATTTCGTAGCCGGAGCGAATCAAATTCGTTGCCGGAGACCATAATCCATCACATTCAATCCCTCTCACCTCTAAATAAGCAGATCAGATAACCATTATCTCAAAATCATATGTAACTCGTCCATACCTGGAATCGAATTTTGTGAATCGCCGTCGCCTACGATTCCTCCCTCGGTGCCGCGGGACGAGAAGACGAT